GTGGAGCATATTCTCTATATTCTCTATAAAAAGATACTTTATGAATTAAACGCTGTCTGTAAAAAGATATCACGTAGCTTGATCATTTTGAATGTCTCTTGTTTCTGAAGATATGAAGAAGATTGATTAATAGAAATCGTTTAATACAGAGAAGATTATAATAGCTTCTTAGTAAGTGGAGTAATTCATTTCACCTCCATGTTTTTAACTGGAATGATACATTTTTTTACAGCTAGACATTCTCTGTAAGAAAGTATTCTTTTATAATGATTAATACATACGTAATTAATACACAATAATAAAATACGTATTATTATTTTACAATAATTAATACACTCTCTATAGGAAGATACCACGTAGCTTGATCATCCTGAATGTCCGAAGATACGAAAAACTTTTAATAATAGAAATTGTTTAGTACGATAATTTCTTAATAGTTTCTTCGTAGGTGGATGTGTTCGTTTGAAAATCCATCTTTTTAAGTGAATATCCTTTCGCATTCTCGAGAAAGTATTTATTTCTAATTCTAACCTCAATTTTGTAAAATCTGTCGTGTGAAAGACGAGGAGAGTCAGGAGCAATGATGTATTCATACAGTCCTCGTCTTTCACTCGTGATTAATGACATTCACCCTGCGTATGTATACCTAAATATATGACTAATACAGCTAAATATGCATTCAGTACGCACAGCATACGAGCAGTGTCTCACGGAATTTGCAATTTCGATGGAATTACAGGCGCAGAAGCATCGGGGATCCGGTTGGTGAGCGGAGCCGGGGCCAGAGAGGCAACCAGTCCCGATCGATACGCGGCTAGTCGATCAGCATGAAGCTGCAGAACTTGAGCGGCGGTGGGTCCAGGTGCGCCAGACGCGCTCTGCTGTTCGTGTTTGCTTGGGGCCTGCTGATGATCGCGGCGGTGCAGTTCCATCACATGGAGAACAGCCTGAGGGAGACACCGAGCGCCGAGGAGTCGTCCAACGAGTTCCTCCTCGACGACGTTTACCGTCGACGCGAGCTGATGAAAAACCGCGGCTCCTCCAGCCTCGGCCTCTCCAGGTACCTGTTGCAGAGATCCTCCGCGGACTCCAGTTTCTCGAATTCCGGCGGCTCCAGTCTTCTCACCACTCTCACCACCATGTCCAACAACCCGACGAGGAACCCGCTGCAGCTGGAACCGCTGTTGGACAAGAGGCCGGCGAAAACCGAGGATGAGTTGATCGAGGAGATCGAACAGAGGATACCCAGTCTGCCTTTGGCCTACTGGAACAAGAACAGCAAGTATCCCGGCGGTCAGGCCAAGTCCAAGGGGAATTACAGCTGTTCGAATTTGAAGTATCCCTCCATCTACGACATAGAGTTCAACAACGTTTACTGGCAAACGATGCAGACGAGTAACGGCACGTTTCAGCTGTTCGGCGCTTACTACGACCGACGAAAGTTGTCCAGGATAGGCCCGGCGGTTCGAATCGTCGGCATGATCGACAGGATCGAGCCGATCGTGAAGACTCACTGCCAGCTGTGGTACGACGGGCAAAGGGAGCCGGTCATTGTCGAGACCCTGGAGTACAAGTACATCTGGTACCCGAAATGGGGCAACTACAAACAGGGGATCTATCAGCCGTACGTGATTGCCTGCAAGATCCCTCAGTCCCATTGGTCGAAGGGGCCTCCCGCCTCGGTCTCCATGGTGGAGAAGAGCTGCGACACTCCCAGCAACAATCTCCGTGTCATATACAACAAACCAGAACGTAAGAAGGACTTCGCCGTGTGCGTGAAGGGTCTGGACTTCCTCCACGAGGATCTGTCCGTGAGATTGGTCGAGTGGATAGAGCTGATCAGTCTGTTGGGCGCGGACAAGATCTTCTTCTACCAGCTACAGGTTCATCCAAACGTGACGAAAATCTTGGACCACTATCAGAGGTTAGGCATGGTCCACGTGACTCCTCTGACTCTGCCAGGCGGCCAACCGAACGTCCCTGCCTTCCAACACATGTATCTGACCAAGAAGACCAATCACAAGAGGCAGAACGAACTGATCCCTTACAACGACTGCCTGTACAAGCACATGTACGAGTACGAGTACATCGCGCTGCTGGACGTGGACGAGGTGATCATGCCAGTGAAGGACGCCACGTGGCAAGATCTGATGAAGAGAGTGCTGGAGAAAGCGCTGAAAATTAGGAACGAGACCAGGGCCTCGTACAACGTGAGGAACGTGTACTTCCTCGACGATCTGCTGCACTCGCACGGCTTCTTCAAAGACATACCAAAGTGAGTACGTTTGATCATCGTCCCAGGGTTAGGTAGAAACCTAACCTAAGTGCCTTGATTTGTGCATTGATTTGACTTTTTCACGGACGAATTTCTTTTGTCACCTCAGTTGTCACAGAGAAATTTCATTTAATTTCGTTTGAAATAAAAAATAATAATAATAACTATTCTTGCCAAGAGCGTGAAGAGGTTATGAACTTAAATTATTCTGGTGTAAATAGCGGAGGAGACAGAAATTTTGAAATTTAGACTGAAATTACGTACGTAGGTTGCTCGACGATTCGTGTCGATCGCAGTAACTACGCGTCTGAAACTTCAAATTACGCAAAATTGCGCAATTTGGATTGAATGCAATATTAGATGGCAACGTATCGATAATGACGGTATTCTTCATGCTGGACAAATAACCGCTTAGTTTCGAAAGTCGAATAAATTGCACCTAAGATACTTCTACGATTTCTTCTATGTCATTAAAGGTATTAGCAAATTTTGACGTAACTCTCTCTTTCTCTCCCCCTCTAATAAAATGAGTACAGACTAACGATTTTGCAATCGCAGTGAACGCTGTCTGTCAATTTTGAAAGAAAAATAAGCGAAGTGAAACGCAGCGAAACCACTACAAATGATCTAATGTACGCGTTATCAATCTTCCCGTAATTAATTCTTACGTCCTCGAGAAAGAACGAGAGCCGCAGAAGAAGACCCGTAGAAAAAGCTGACTTTACTTGAGAAAAAAAGAAAAGAGTTTCAAATCGTTGGTGAAATTGAAAGTAAAAAAAAGAAAAAGAAAAAAATTTGGAAACTTAGAGATTTTCCAAAGAAATCGGAACGAGTTGAGGAGGTTAGGTTAGGTTTAGGTCAGAAAATTCGGAAGAAAGAGGAATTCGAAACGAATTGAGGTTTTAGGTTTTAGATTAGGTTAGGCTCAGGTTAGGTTTGAGTCAGAAAATTTGAAAGAAAGAGGAATTTGAAACGAGTTGAGATAGTTTAAGTTAGGTTTAGATTAGAAAGTTCGGAAGAAAGAGGAATTCAAACGAGTTAGGGAGGTTAAGTTTAGATTAGGTTAGGTTTAGATCAGGAAATTTGGAAGAAAGAGGAATTCGTACGAGTTGAGAAGGTTTAGGTTAGGTTTAGGTCAGAAAATTCGAAAAAAAGAATTCGAATGAGTTGGAGAGGTTAAGTTTAGATTTAGGTTAGGTTTAGGTCAGAAAATTCGGAAGAAAGAGGAATTCGAAACGAGTTGAGAAGATTCAGGTTAGATTTAGGTTAGAAAATTCGGAAAAAAAGAGGAATTCAAACTAGTTGGGGAGGTTAGGTTTAGGTTTGGTTAAGTTTAGGTCAGGTTTAGGTCAGAAAATTCGAAAAAAAGAAGAATTCGAATGAGTTAAAGAGCTTAAGTTTAAATTAGGTTAGGTTTAGGTCAGAAAATTCGGAAGAAAGAGGAATTCGAAACGAGTTAAAAAAGTTTAGGTTAGAATTAGATCAGAAAATTCGGAAGAAAGAGGAATTTATACGAGTTGAGAAGGTTTAGGTTAGATTTAGGTTAGAAAATTCGGAAAAAAGAGGAATTCAAATAAGTTGGGGAGGTTAGGTTTAGGTTTGGTTAAGTTTAGGTTAGGTTTAGGTCAGAAAATTCGGAAGAAAGAGGGAATTCGAACGAGAAAATTGGAAGATGAAAAGTTGATTATATCTGTCCGCAGGTACATGCACATGCTGCAGCACGTCTACCGTTCCCAAAACTTCACGAAACCGAATCAGTACATCAAGTGTTTCCACAATCCGGAGAGGGTGGTGACATTGCACAATCACTTCCCGTTGGCCTGTCTGGGCGCCGGATGCACCAGTTACCCTATACAAACCGAGGACGCCCAGCTGCAGCATTACAGAGCCGATTGCGTGAAATCGTTGAAGAAAACCTGCGTTCAGTACCGCGAGAACAGCGTGTTGGACACCACGATATGGCGGTACAAGGACCAATTGGTCGAAAGGGTGACCAGGACGTTGGAGGCCCTTGGTTTCTTCAGGCCGAGCTAGCGAGAACGAGAAGACTCGCTGAGTTTCAGATCGCCACACTGCGTGTGCTATCGACGACGAAGCACGAATTCGTTTAGAATCGAATTTCGCTTCGTTCGTCTCGTTCCTCCTTCCATCGATTTCCTCTGAAAATGGTCCAAGTCCGCGTGGAGAAGTTTGCTGCCCTCGAACACGGCTTGGGGACACGGTTTGCTTCGATTCACAGAGAGTTTCTCGGTTTCTCTTACCGATAAAGTAGACATCTTCGATTCACAGAGAGTTTCTAGGTTTCTCTTACCGATAAAGTAGACATCTTCTTGAACCGTACATTCCATTCGGACGAATTGAATTTTTTTCTACGTTTTGCGTGAAATTTTCTGAAACCGAAGGTCGACGCATCGGACATCAATAAGCGTTTGTAATTTTTCGACAAATTATAGTTATAGACAAATAATCATCGATCGAAAACTATTGCCTCGCAAATAATCTGTTCGGAGAGTATCATACAGGATGAAAATGTAAGGGAAAACTAATTTTACTGACTTTAAATTAAATTTAAAATTAGATTTAATTTTAGTAGGAAGTGATCTTCGGTTCACCCTTTATATTTATACTTTTCTTACTAACGACGATTAACGTAGCACGTAAGAACGAAGCATCCGTGGCTCACCGACGCGTTCGAGGGGACGAAAAGGCTGTGTAATCGGACAGAACGTACGACAACAACGATTAGGATAATCCGTAGGATAAGGATAGCGTTAATAATTTTCTTCCCCCCCCCCCAATTTGTGCCACTGGACGAGACTCGATTTGCACGACTGTAAATCGAGTACACGTCTTTGCTCAGCGTCTTCCTCGAGTTAACTCGTGCTACTGCTTTCGCTTCAGAGATGAAGCATCGTCGAGCCGTCAATTTATGAAAGACTGGAGTTTCAAAGCTCGATGCGCTCGAAAATTCGAAACGAGACGAACCTTGTTCCCTCGAAAATTCGCAAGAAAGAAATTTGAAACCAAGGCGAGTTTTTTTTCTTTTTTTTTTTTTTTTTTTTTTTCATTTGGTCGATTTTAACTTTTAACTTTCAAACTCGAAACGCGACGATATTAGATATTAGTTCGCGTCTCTATTGTTAGAATTGAATCTGGTCAGTTTCGAAAGTTGTTAGACGTCGCGCAATATGTTATACTCGCTGTATCGATCGATCGATCGATCGAACTTAAGTGTATCACGTGCATGATATTGATGTGTATTTACACGAGAATGAAAGATACGCAAGATGTATTTTATTGGGACGAGTAAAACTCGTGGATGGATCGGTAGATCGATACAGAAATGAGTTGCACGATCGTTGAAATAGATACAGCGAGGTCAAAAATTGATTGTACATAAAGTATTGAAATTTTCGAAGGTTTTCAATCATACTGAAAATTATTACAAGCATTAAAAGTGAAAACGATTACTAATTGTCACCTAACTTTTCCACCTGGTGTAACTTGTTGTTGGAGTAAACTAGCATTCGTTACATGCAGATTTTAAAGAAAAGGAAAAAAAAAAAGAAAAGAAATTTAGTCACAACCGATCGATCGTAGGTAAAAGGCTTCAACTTCGATTTATACTTCATTGTATTTTATCTACCAGGCTGACTATCTACGTTTTTATATTAATCCGATTATTATGCTATCTGAAGACTAGGATCCACAGTTTCCGTACGTACGTTTTTCCTTTACTGTTTTCTTTTTTCTTTTTCTTTTTCTTCCTTTCTCTCCAATTTCCTCGCTCGAACGGAAGTGACTGATGGGCTCGTTGTGAAGCGATAACGAGAAGGAAAAGTTGATTATGGGCATGAATCGGGAAGTATTAGCGAAACTTACGGTACTTCGAACATCGGCATCGATCGTGATTTTTCAATTTGTCACTTTGGTAATACTCTAATTACCTTTGCAAATGTCACAGATATTTTTCGAAAATTTTTCGAGTTTTGCCATTACCTTCACACTTTCTACAGTATATTTCAAATTACTTAGTTAATTTCTCAAGATGCTATCTCACTTATACTTGGTCGCTTTATAATTGATTGTATAAGTTGAAATTCTTTAATTTTAAGAGATTGTAATGAAAAGTGCCTTTTTGCACTGACAAATCGATGGAGGACGAATTTCAGGCGTAAAGAAACATCCAAATTGCTACGTGAAAGCATTGTCCCCGCCGTAGAAATCGGGTCCTCGAGTCCCACGATCGATGCTGTAATTCGAGTTCACTCGCAAACCAACGATCGTATTTCCCGTATTGTTCAATGGTGTTTTTTCTTGCGCGGCTTCAGAGAAAGACCCCTTGTTCCAGGGATGTACGAACACGCTGAAACGAATTCCTGCTGTTTGCTAACTATCGAGACAAGAAGTCTGGAATCTGCAAGTGTATATCGAGTACCAAATGGAGGTTCTTTCCCCCTCTTTCGCGATTATTTCTTCCAACTTGAGAAATTGTCGAGCTCCGCTATTTCGAATTCGATCGATGGCACAACAAAGTTGTCGAACTTTTACGTCACGAACTTCTTACGGCCGTGATTTCGATCACTTTTCAAAGATCATTTAAAGTTCTTATCTAGCAACTTATTGTGAAACTTTAAGCAGGAAAAAAGAGAAAAGTTTCACGAAAGTGTATATCCATGGAACGATCGAATGCTTTCTTCCCGCGCGCGCGTGTGTGTGTGCGTGTGTGTTGTGTTTTTCTTCGTAACTCGAAACGGGCTCCATTGGCTCTCGTTTTTTCCTCTCTTTCGTGTTTCCTTTTTTTTTTTTTTTTTTTTTTTTGGGCATGGTGAACCTCGATCGCTTTCTACACACCACACGATCGTTTCCTCTCTTTTTTTCTTTCTTTCTTTCTTTCTTCTTTTTATGCCGTTACGTGAGAGCGCGATTGACGTTACACCATGAATTGATCTATAGACTATTAAATATTATTATTATTATTATTATTATTAATATTACTATTATTATTATTATTATTATTATTATTACTATTACTACTACCACTATTATTATTGCTATTATTATTATTATTATTATTATTATTTTTATTATAATATTTACCTCTGGCAGATCTATTCATCGGAATGAATTTTTCAAGGAATATTTATACACTTGCGAGATGAACATGTTCAGATGTTAAGACGCAGTTCATTCGGTCGAAATTAATCCCTTTTCATCCCTCGAACGCGATCGCTATGATCACAGACTCTGACGATGATACGTAGCCCTGTTTAAATGATATTCCATTTACGTTTTATTTTCTCCATTGCGACTATTGAACATACAAATATGTATCTAGCGATTTCTGATCGATTCAATCCGATCTTGCAGCCGATTTGGAACCATCGTGCTTTCTTTTTTTTTTTTTTTTCAAAATTGGAGCTGAATTCTAAATAAAAGTGCCTGAGATCGCGTTCGTCGCGAATTTGAATTGACCGGTTCACGGTCCTCAGTCTTGACGATCGACCTCTCTCTCGTTTTTTTTTTTTTTTTTT